ATTTGTGAAACTGAATCTATTCGTATAGTAGCGTGTAGACCAGTCACTGGTAGCTTTAAACAGTAAAAGGGTGATTGATATCGATTTACTTGGCTTCGGCATCAGTTTGTTCATGTGGCGCCTGTTTCAAGTTAATGATATGTTAGCTATGATTTCGTTCTAGCCCTTTTAACTCAACAGAAATGAGTTGTGCTTTTGTCTATTCAATATTTTCTAGTACATTTTGATATGCTCTATCCGCTGATGAGGTTAGTCATACAAAATAGCTTTCGAATTTGTGGTTTTTAACGAAGATTGGGAAAGTGGGTATCAATGTTTCGTCGTTCTTCCATGCTTAATAAGTTCAACTGCGCTCAAATACCATCCAAAGTATATATTTCGATGTGTCTTGATCCTCACAACTCAGGTCATGTCAAAACTGTTTGAAAACAAACTCCATCGTCTTAGCATCTGATATCACGCGAATACTCGTTCCGTCTAGACACCATTTACCAAAACATTTCAAATAGAAGTGAAGATATGATTATGACACTATTAAAATTACCGTTATTAATCCGATTTGGTAGAGGATATTTTCGAAATTCGTCATGAAAATTTCAGAAAAACTAGCAGCTATGTATATATATGTGGATATTAGAATCATATGTCTTTTAAATGTCTTTGAACTATACTGATGAGAAGTCAGTTTGACTCGTCATGACAGTTAGCTTCGTTGCCATTCCGATTTCGATCTCAACCTAAATCTGTTCGATCTTGTAAATTCCTCTTCCGTCAGCAACACTGCGGCAGCCTTTAAGCTTTTAGAGGACATATTCTTGATAAAAGTTTTTCCTGAACATTCGTTTGATATAGGTCGCAGAATTCGTAAAGAGGATAAATACGTATAGAGAAATAAAAAAAATGTAATTACAGAACAGGTTTCTCTCAAAGTTCGAGTCTCTTCAAAGAACTTCTTTCAATTAATTTTTCTCGTATGGTTCATCTGCCCTTTCCCAATAGTTTTATTATTCATATAAAGTGTTGTTTTATAGTCTGTTTTGCATCGTTGTTAGCGAAGGTGGAGCTAGCCGTAGTTTAAAAATTGATAGGAACACCATAAGAATTTTGTAAAATAACGATACGCGCTATCTTTTCCACACCTCTACTCTATCTGATACTCATTGTCCATAGAAGAGCACTGCAAACGTGGTTAAACATTTAACTTACATCACAAAAGAAATCGAAGTAAAATAAAAGCAAACTTCACAGCTATGCTCGATATTATCTCAAAATTTGTCTCCCTTACATATATTTATAATCTAGTATAAGAATAAAGTAGTTCAACAAGGCCCTTTCCTTATCGAAATTTCAATCAAGATTTTTACAAGTGTGACCACTTTTAGGCAGACGAACTACCTAACGCAGCCCAAAACATTATCGGCAAACCACTCTAGAAAAAAAGTTATCTGTATGCACATTTACTTTTATTCAGTCAAAGATCTATTGCAGAAATGAAAAGGAGTTTGTTGCTATGCATACGCATATCAGTGAGTGAAAGTCGTAAGAACAGCTTCAATCATCACGCCGTGCAGTTAACAAATGAAAAAGATTTTTTCTCAAATTGAATAGTGTTGAATATCACATCATAACATGTTCTGAATATCTTTATTCAAATATTGACAGTTCTAACAACAACTGAACGATATGACGCTCTTTCTTGCAATGAAATGATATTTAATACCCTTTCTAAACAATCTTTGATAATAAAAAACGGAAAGAAATTCAAAATTATCAATTATGAATTTAGGTTTTTAAATTTCTTTAAAGAATGAATAATTCTCACAGTACACATAATTTTTATCAAAATGAGGGAGGTTTGAATTCAGGAGAAATTTGTTTTAATTTTATTAAACATCCACATTTTTAATTCTATTTATTTATTATTTGTTATCGAGCTGTATGTGAATAGGATAACAGATCTTCGAAATTATTAAGAGCACTATTTTTACCGATGTGTAATGATACTTGTGCGCAGTTTATATTCTAATAAGACATCATCTTCGTCGCAACCTTTTTTTAATCACTGTTCACTAGGAAGGATTAGAGGCTATTCCTTTTGTGCCTTACAACATTTATGCTGGAAGTGTACTTGCGCGCTAGTTTACTCTTAGTTTGTGAACAAAGTCTATAGCGGCAGACTTATAGTGTTTTTGTTTTATTTGATGAAGAACGGCATTAACATCTTTAAAAAGGAGAATGTAGCAAATGCAGATTATGCAGCGTTCAATTTACTATTGATCCACGATATATAATGGGTGACTCTTGTGTACACACCTGGATAGCCATTTTGTGCGCATCCATGCCCGTAACTGACCACTCCACTGACATACCATTGTCCATTCGCTTCGTACATTAATGGTCCTCCAGAATCACCTTGACATGAATCTTTTGTATATTGTGCAGTTCCGGCACACATTTGCCTTTCTTTGGTGTATGATGAATAAACTTGCGAACAACGTGGCTCCATTATTTGTAATGTTACTTGTCGAAGAACTCTACTTGGCGAACCGGACTCTGTTGTCAGTCCCCATCCGGCTACGATCACATTTGCATTGACCGGGGGATCCGGTCCCGGTAAACAAGCAATATTCACATACTGATTTAATTGAACAGGTGTAGTAAGTCTTAAAATAGCAATATCGTTGTCTTCTTGGTCACGACCATATTTTTCATGGATGAACATACGTTGAATTGAAACACGTTGCGTATGCCCAGTATTCAGATCCTGTTGGTTATGTAAACCAACGATAACGGAATATGTGTTCATTCTACCGCTGTCTAAACAATGAGCTGCTGTTAAAACATGTCTATTATCAATTAATGTTCCACCACAAACGTGTCCTCCGTTTTGTTGTAAAGAAACGATCCATGGCCATGAGTTCGGTGCGGCTTCAATTCCACCGACAATTCTTTGTTGGAATGGTTGAAATGATTGTTTACCACACGAGGCACGCGTCGGCGTTACTTGAGTAGTGGTTGTTTGACCAATGGTACTTGCTGGACAGCAATATCGAACTTTATAATCAGTACATAATTTTTGTTTAAAACCATTGATGTAAGGATTCAGACACAAGAAACCATCCGTTATTGACACTTTGAAGACGTCACCAGTCGAGGACGGAGCATCATCAAAAACTGTGCGCGCCTAAATAAAAGCAACTGTAAGATACTTGGGCATGGATGTTTTGATACTTCTGTTAGTATTTGGATAAGATACTAAAGCCCTTAATAATTAAAGCAGAGTCAGAGGATTATGTTTACAGCAGTGTTAGTCAATTATAGCCTTCTATTGAAAAATCTATGTTCTTTTTTTGTATTAATTGAGGAAATTTATATTCAAAATTCTTCAAGCAACATTATTTACCCAAAACTAGTAACTCACTTCGACAGCAATTGGTACTGGGCACATATATGATGCAAAAAGTTGTTGTATATGTTTGGTAACTTCCATGTCGCCTTCGGTTACTGTCGGATCATTTGTATCCAGCCAAGTTGTCCATTGATACGCTCCCGAGCAGCCAGCTTCAGTCATTGTTGATGGATCGAATAAACCTTGTCCTAAAACCATTGTTATCGTTGAGAGCACAACAGCTAACGAAAGGAAAAGCATTATTGCTGCTGAGGACATTCTAGAATGGTATTTAATTCTGGCACTTGCACTTCACTTATTATACGTGTATAGCAGAGACACTTATATATTACTTATATGAATAACATTATATTAGTTTAGAAGAAAAACACCCAATTTTTAATTTTTTTGTCTTTGAAAGTACATTAAGCTCTTTGTAATACGAGCAGAATTGAGAATATTAGCTTTTTAAATATGTAAAGTACATTCGAACGATATATTAACAAGAAACGTACTTTGACCTTCAAGGTTTTTCTTCATAGTAGTGACGCATCCTAGCCTACTGATTGACAATATTAGTAGAACATTTGCTAGACTAGCATAATAGGAAGTTTTCGGAGTGCTTGTACGTAAGAATGAACAATGAAATGTACACAGAAATTAACAGAGTAAAAGTAGATGTGTAGTTGATTCTTGATTTTCTCAATTTTTTGATTGTATTATGCTCACGCTATCTCGAAACAGTGGTGGAAATGTGCTGGGCTCATGACTCAGTTAGATTGTTCATCAATAATATGATTTGTGTCCATTTTTTGCTTCTAGAAGCAGTTAAGAGACGTTCCATGAGTGCTCCAAAAGAGTACATAATATAGTCAAAATTTACTTTTCAATCTAGCTACGTTTCATCGATTCTCCCTCTGACGTTATCTAGGGATCCAGTTTCAAGACCTTCGTAACGTTTGATTGATTCATTACGAATTTTTTAAAAAAAGATGTACAACTTGTTCTTGAAAAAATCGCTCTTATTTTGACTTTTGTGCGATCCAATTATCTTTGCTCTAAATCAATTATATATCAGCGCGCGGATAAAACTGAACAAAATATGCTATTTTTTAGGTCTTAGAAATCAAAAATTAAAGTGGAAAAATTGAAATAAATCAAATGTTTGAAATTTAAAAAACAAAAGTTTTCATATAAAAGAAGCACATAATGGAAAATTTTGTTTTTTAAATTTCAAACATTTGATTTATTTCAATTTTTCCACTTTAATTTTTGAGTTCTATGCAGAGCTGGGCAAGTTCCGGATGTTTCCAAGTCAAGCCACAAGTCATAACCTGAAGTTGTTTTTTTCATAGAAAAATGTCCAGAGCGCAGCTGAGCACATTATAGGCTTTCTATGAGCCTCGGGTTTTTGTTGGATGATGGTGTGGAGGTAGATAATTATGTGGTAGCAGATGATGATTCTTGAATTTCGCACAGTGGACATTTTTCTATACACCAGGCGGGTATGTGGTTTTTTAATACAAAAAGTGACTATTTTTTCTCAGTACAACTTTACTATGTTTGAAATGTTATTGTAAATTAGAAAAACCCAAATTCGGAAAAAAATGCTTCTAAACGAAAAATCGCTGAGCGGGTGCTTGCCCTAATTTTTTGTCAAAAACATTTTTATTCAGAAAATGGAAAAGTAACACGTTATTCAATGTAGTTTTATGAGCTGATCTCAAATATGAAATTATTTTTCAATAAAAGCGTTTTTGAGTTGTAAAAAAATAGATTTTATCTCAAAAGCTAAGGGTTTTTTGAAAAACTCTTATCTAAGTCCAAAATAATTTTTTATCTAAAACTAAAAAGGCTAGATAAGAATTTTTTTATTAATATACATAGCTAGAACCACAGAAGTCGGGAGAATCCTATACAAACTTCCCAATGTTCGACAAACTGGAGAAATCCTTGGGAGTACAAGAAAAAATCGGAAAAAGAGATTAGAATCCGATAAAATCCCAAGAATCTGTAAAAATGACTGAAAATGGGGCTAATCAAAAAAAAGTACAATCAAATTTAAAAAAAGTTGATAGCCTGCGGAACAGCGCCCAGATTACAAAAGTCACAAAATCTACTGTTTTGCTCTTGGCTAAAATAGAGGCTAGTTTTTACTTCCCTATCTCTTTCCGCGAATTTGCAACTTGTAAAAATATAATTTACGCCATTAAATAGCCCGTAAATCAAAGTATATTTGCCACTATCTGAATTTTGAAAAAGCGCACTTTCGATTTGTTGCCAAATATATGCATGGTTGCCCACTGTGATTCGGATCCTTTAGTTTGGTCACACACTTTTATTAAGTTGAATTAGAAAATTAGAAGTGGAACTGAGATAAATCCAATGTGGCCTAAGATGATGCAACAACTATGAATCATTAGTGCATGTACCACGTACTGATAAACTGCCAATAAAAATGGCTAATAGAGTCTCCATTCCGTGGTGTAAGAATACAGGTTTTGCTATTACAACATGCGCGCCTTGTTACTGTGCGTAAATTCTTACATTATAACATCAACATTCCCAAATCATTATGAATGATTAAAAATTAGATTGCATAAGAGGTTTAAAAATATGCATGACATGACTTGGTGTTTTATGCCAAGTCACAAGTCAAGTCAAGTGTTTTGAAAAAATTTTCAAGTCAGGTTAAGGCAAGTCAAGTCATTTTTGACTTGGTTTGCCCAGCTCTGGTTCAGTTTTATCCGCTCGCTGATATATAATTGATTTAGAACAAAGATCATTCAGTCGCACAAAAGTCAAAATAAGAGCGATTTTTTCAAGAACAAATTGTGCACCTTTTTTTAAAAAATTCGTAATGAATCAACCAAACGTTACGAAGGTCTTGAAACTTGGAACCCTAGATAACGTCAGACGGCGAATCGATGAAACATAGCTAGATTGAAAAGTAAATTTTGACCATATTATGTACTTTTTTACGTATGCCCGATGGGCTCACAAATCAAATTGTCTCTTAAGATTGACGCACATTGAATAATCGTTCAGGTCGATAGATGGAAACCCAAGCAAAAAAATGTCTTTGAGAATAGCTAGCTATAAAAATATGCTATCGGGCAATATCGGCCTGTGATAGCTAGCTATCCGTACCACTTTTATTGAGTTATCTAGCTACATCGAGTATGATAGTTAGCGACTAGATATCGTACCCGATATATCGGGTTGACAAAAACACTGATCAGATTAGCTATTCAGTCGATATATTGATCAATTATCATGTCAATTATCATCATATATAGTACAGTGGCTGCAAAACAAAAAGGTGAATAAACCGACCGTCAATATATCGAGTAATATATTGGGCTAGCTAGCTATATCGAGTAGTATATTACGTTAGCTAGCTCGCCCGGTAGTCGATATCTTTTATTTGCTTGTGTAAACTCGCAGCTACAATCCTACACTATCAACTACAGTTTAACAGCATTGATAATAGATATATGCTTAGATCTTCCTTTTGATGAAAGCGATCGTCAAGCTTGAACGTTTCGAATGAAAGTGTCAGAGTTCTCATATTCTTGTTGATGTTCTCGAAAAGTGATAATTGTGCGCAACTAATTGGATATTTATCATCCTAATAAAATTCACCATAATGCTGCTACAAGAAAAATTTATCATATTATAATCAAAAGATTAGAAAATCAGGCACCAGGTGCACATCTCACTCTATATAGTTTTAAAAGTCATCCTTGAACAATCAGTCTTAACTTTTATGTACCAAAATTTCCTATCCCAACCATTTGAGTAACGCTCCATAAACAAAACAATTGGAGCGATCGACGTCACTGGTTTTAAGTCGACTTATTTAATTACCACGTGGTTATACGGACGAAAAATCCGAAAACCGGCATTCTAATACCGGACGACAACCTTCTGGATCAACTGCAAGTCGATCGTTTCTTCCAACTGATCTTATTGTCGATCAAGATTTTATTCATATTTGCGACAGTGGTAATATCAACACATTACATCATCACTGCCATCGATTTCGAAACAGAAGTACGAGTACGATTACAATATGTTTTACAATATTTGAAATCAGTATTTCAGACTCTTTTTCTGTAACTTTCGTCTATGCTTTTGTTAACACAAACTCACTGTAACGGCACGAAAAAGTGAAGAAAGAAGTTAGCGCCATGACTTTGGATAGTAACAAAAAAATATTCAAATGTAATCAGTTTCTGCCTTTTATTTAGTAAATTCAGTTCAATCTTTTTTTCTCATTTCATCCTCGTTTCATTCATTCATCACTTCATACATAACGTTCCGTTACACTCACATTGACTAAAATAAGAGCATATATTTTTTCACTGCACCAAATTAGTCTGTTATAACTTTCTTTTGTGATTTATAACATTTTAGACTGTTCTAAGTTTCGTTAGAAATAATTTCAGAATTTTTTAACAGATGCATTTTGTGGAACAAACGTTTCTCTACAAAATGAGACGTTTTTTTCAAAAATATATGCTCTTATTTTAGCCAATGTGAGTTAACACAAAAGCATAGACGAAAGTTACAGGAAAAGAGTCTGAAATACTGATTTCAAATGTTGTAAAAACATATTATAAACTTGTTCTAATTTAAATAAGAATTGTTTTGAAAAGTGATGAATTATTTTTGTAAAATATTGTAGTAGGGTTTTTTCCCTATCTGTACTGATCCGAATGGAGCATATCATAACGGATCGGCTGATAGATCAGCGTTCAGTTTTGCCAGTCTGTATCGGCCAAAATCGACCGGCCGACTTGCCATTTTCTTCCTCTATTAACTGACGCGTCGAACGCTTCACTGTATTTCACTACTTCATTGATATTTCACTCTTTTCTCCTTGTCAACTTACAACTTATCCGATACGAACTAAACCATTTTCTTCAGACTACCCACTACACCGAACTGGCTGGTTGTCGGTGTCATCTGTGAACCGAATACTTCCTAGACTAACATCCCACAAAGAAGTGTAGTATCCGATTTGATTCGAAGCTATTTGCAAACGATTCTCTACCGCTTTCTAGTTCACTCTAAGACATATGGTGCCTGTTAGTACTCAGCAGACTGTACTTTGACTGTACCTTCTCAAGCTGTTGTTCAAAGAACTGTTAACGTGTACAAGAAAGTCAATAGCCTAATATTACAATTATTGTCTAAATATCAAATTGTGATTTTAATTGTTACTTTTAGTTTTAATATTTATTTTTATTAAGGTATTCTTAAATTGTTATTTTTAACCTTGCCCATTAATTCACAAAATGGAATATTTAGTTCGTTACTTCGTCTTAAAAGTAGGAGGAGACATCTTTTATCAATACCCCACTGCTCAAACCAAAAACTGCTACCGTGATAAACGTTTTTCGTCGAAAAAGACGAAAAAATTCAAAACAAATTCCAGACTAACGGTCTGGTATCCCAGACGGTAGAGAATCGCCTACCGGAGCGGCCGATGCAGTCGACATCTATGGTGTGGTTATATCGCCAAGATAATGATGTGACTACACTTCTTGAAGAACTTGAAGAGCCAGGTAGCGTCTAACTTTGGTCGAATTGACCCTTACTCGCGAGCAGTTAATTGGAGTTGACATTAGAGGCGAGCGATGGACTAGTTTTCACTACCTCGCGGGGTTTTATACAAGAACGACTTATGACCATCTTTACTAGTATCTTCAGTAGCAAATGTTAATGACATTGTTTGTTTCTCAATAAGTGTAATACTTTGCAAAATTCATCGCTTTTACCCAAGCAAAAACGACCCAATTTGAATGGTGGGCTGAACATGACCCGATTGAGAATAATTTCAGACTGTGCACTCTTGAAGAAGAACAATGTTTTTTCGAAGGAGAACATAATCAACTACTGTACTCTCGAATGAGAACAGTATATACACTTATTCTTAAAGGAAAACATTTTCAAACAGTACGATCTCGAAGGAGAACAAATAGCCACTGCAATAGATCCTAACACGTAGTGATTTTGTGATTGTAATCAATATAAACAAAATACATATTCAAGCTTCCGTATCCGAAACTTCGTTGTTTAAAAGACCATGACGTAAACTGTACAAGATTCTATAACATGGTTTTCTAGCAACATTAAAATACTCTTATAATATCCGTACATCCACGCAAACATTGGCACTTAGCATAGATGATTTCATTTTCAAATTCTTCACGACCACATCGCATTGGCTTCGTTTATGAGAAATCTTGTATTTCTTGCAAAAATCCCGTTGCAGTATTTGTTTCTTCTTTTTGTATTGAATTAACCCAAAAATTATTAATATTCAATAAATATAAAAATATAATTAACATTTGGATTAGCTGTTACATATTTAAATTTACCAAAAATGGGAAATGGTTACTATCACAAATTTGAACATCTTCGCTTACCTGTTTTGCTTATTAGGATAACCTTCAATGGGATTGTTGGTACGTGGATGCAATCCTATGAAGTCGAATAGATTCCATATATCTTGTATTTCTTGTATTTCATCCATATATCTAAAAATATACACCAGTTATCCATTTTTCTACATGTTTTATAAAATGTACAATATTACGATGATGTGGAACATTAAATAGGAAATCATCAAGAATAAATTGAATATGATCAAAAATAATAATTAGTTTAAACCTGTTTTATAAACGACTTTAAGGTTCCCATTGAACAGATACTTTAATTAGTTTGAATATATTTCATAAACTACGTGTTCTTATTTAAAGTAATCGGTGAACAAGTGTCCGATGAGGATCTGACCAGGCAAGCATCAGTCCATGTGAGCAAGTGTTCTCGCGAACAACTGTCTCAAAAACCAAGTTTTTCAATTTTAGAAACCCTATAAATCGGTAAAGAAAGGTCGAAAATATAATTCCAAAAGACTGCCTCTGCAATAGTGTCTTGAGTATCTCTGGTAAAATTTTGAACTCGATCGGATGAACTTCGTCGTAATGTGGCACAATGAAGCCTGCACAGTGGGCATTTTTAGCTAGAGCAAGCGGACTTTAGCTTTATGAGTGAACTAAAATTTCATGAACCATTTTTTTATAGGTTTTTCATGATCCTCTTTCTAATGCCATGAGAGTTGGGTTTTG